TCTCCAGACGTACAGTTAATTGCACACAAGTCTGAGTCCTTTTTTTTTAATGTAATTGGTTTACAATACCGTGCTCATCGCATTTTTTTCCTCGAAAACGTGTTTAAATCAATGACGATGTTCTAAATTTTCATTTTTCTAGAAGAGCTAAATAAATATAAATAAAATTTGTCTATCTTTACGTGCGCCACCAAACGGTATAACCAATCAAAAATAAATAAATGGGGTCTAATATGACCAAAAATTAAAATTTTGATTGAAAAACCAATCAAAAAAAAAAGAAACAAAAACAACAAGGAGGCAACGAAACTACTAAATCGGGTACGGGCTCTTGTTTTCTCAGCGGGCTTTTATCGAGTATAATGTACAATTCGTTGAACACTCCCCGTCCTTGAAGGTCGCCATCGTAGCCCGGCTAGCTCAGTCGGTAGAGCACGAGACTCTTAATCTCGGGGTCGTGGGTTCGAGCCCCACGTTGGGCGGATCTTTTTTTTGCCTCTGTCGTCATTATAATATTTACCGGCAGCTTTCAAACGACACGGATCTCCTTCTATCGTCATTGGGAGCCGTGTTCAGTTGTACTACTCCACACTTACGATCAAAATTTAAAAAAAAATCCAAAATTACTTTTTTTTTTTTTTTTTTTTTTTTTTTTTTTTTTTGTACGAGGAGCTCGAAGTTTTCAAGCCTGTTCAACAGCTGTTTGTACCTCGTGTGGCGTCCATCACAGAATTGATCCTGGCTCCGTTGGCTCGATGTGTGGAACTTTGCAGAATGGAAAAGGCAAAGCTTAGGAATTATCAGAGCATGAAGGTTCCTCAAACAACAGACTCACATGTCATATATAAGGAAATTGCTGAGCTCCCAGCACTTGCATACAGTTCTGGGAAGTAACTTTATTTGCAAGAAACTGAAACTCTTCAGGAGTTCTAAGCTCCAGTTCTTGGTATCAAGGCCTGATTGTAACTTCACTAGAAGTTACGTTAATGAAATTGCATCCGATCGCCTGTAAGCTCTGTTTTGACCCGACCCTTCCGCGTCCGTATGACCACAAAACAGAACCACTGCATTAATTATTATCAGGCGACTATTCACGACTCCGGGACCTTACTCGACTGCAGCTCATCCTTTCATGCGCCTGATGGACAAGTATTTTTACGCACTCGGGCGGCGGTATTGCGGATCTCACCAAACCCTTGAAAAAAAAAAAAAAAAAAAAAAAAACGCAGGGAGTAATGTTTTTGACAGAAAGCTTTCGAATGTGTTCTTCATCCTTTCAATACTAGGCCCTTAACCCGACTTTTTGTTTCATATCGATTATTTCCATCAGCGAGTTTATCTATCGTTCTTGGCACTTACGTTTCGAGAAAGCAGCGTACGGCAACGTGATAAGGTTTTATCTCACTACTGACATTTCTTGGAGGACGTACACGTGGAACACCGTATGGGGATTAGAGCCACAAAAGTTGCTGCTACGAAGTAATTTAGTTACAGGTTACTCGGGCCAACGTGTAATTCACTGGCATTTGGAAGCATCTTTCTAAGGGTTTCACCTATTGAAGCTACTTACAAAATACTCTCGCCAATCCCCCCACAATCTTAATTTACTTTCTCTCTCTTTCAATCCCTAATTACTCTCGAAATATATTATGTCGAGAGGTTCTGCGGCTGACCACCAACCGCTTGTTGGCCGACGAAGAAAAGATGCGATCAATTCGGTGATGTGCTCACAACAGTGTGCTGAGAAGTGGCAACACATAGCATCGATGTTGAGACGAAATCATTCTTAATTTGTGCATTGGTCAGCACAATTTCGGTCAGTATAACTAAAAAGGGGAAGCTATCAAAGTTACTGAAATATCATCGTGTACTTTAGAATGTGTTTGGTACCCTAAATAGTACTACACTAACTTCGATTATTTTAATTCCCTTTTTCAGTTCCGCAGATGGCCTTGAGCGCATCTAGCACGCTCCTTGTGACAGTTCACAATCATGGCGACTGTGTCAAGTATATGATGTGAGTCGCTTGCCCCAATGCAGACATACAAGCGCTCGCTACCTTTCATCTCACGAATGTACCATTTCACGATTCAATCATTCTACTTGGCTTACTGCACATATTTTTAAAAATCATCCAAAAACAAGGCTTCCCAAAAAAAAGTGCTTTTCTTTGGACACAAGACCGCAATCAACGTTTGGATTTTGTGGATGTGAAATGCTTCGTGACTTTTATGTTCCCGCAATAATCAATATATTTTTTTCTTCATACGTAGAGATTACTTGCACACAAGTCTGTGTTTTTCTGTTTGTTTTTTTTTCGTTTATATATATAATTTGCCTACGATGCAGTGTTCCTCGCAATTTTTCTCAAAGAAACGTATTTAAATAAATGATGATGTTTTACCGTAAGAACGTAGCCGCCGTGTGGTCGTTGCATAGGTAAAGAAAATCAAATATTTATGAAGCTCGTTGGAAGTAAAATGAACCTCCACAACGCAAATTCACCCGCATACCTCGCGGTTGCTCCTTTTTCCTGCCCGCATTTCATCGGAAGCAACACGCCAATTTCACGTTGGCACTTGCGCTCGAATTCGGATTTCCTTTACCTCATCTCCAACAAGCGCCACGAGGAAACCCTGACAACGGCAAGCACAACCTTGTGTCTTTGTTTAAATTAGTTAAACCGTGCATATTCTTCTTTCATCGAATAAATAGTAAGCGTGCAGGAAATCTGGCGAAGCTTAACGATGACGAATTGTACGTGAGGCAGTGGTAAGAAAAAGAAAACCTGTTTCCCTTTTTGTAGCACAGTGTGAAGCGGGAGAAAGCAGAGCACAAGTTCGTCTGCTTCTTTTGAAGGGCCTGGGGTGACGTCAGAACGCACAGCTCTGATTGGCTCTGATAGAAGGACAGTGGGTAGACCTCGAAGCAAGCTGCCTTGAGGTCTACCCACTATCCTTCATTCAGAACCAATCAGAGCTCGGCGTCATTCTGACGTCACCACCACCCCCGCAAAAAAAGAAAAAAGCAGACAAACTTGCGTTCCGCATAAAATCTTTCCTTTTTTGATTCTTGGATAGTCGGCGCTCCGACTGAAGTCACTGAATCCTGGGAAAGTAGCGCCGAGCTCACGGGGCTCGGAGAAATTGATCATTTCACAGACCAAAATGGCGACCATATATGGTCGCCATTTTGGTCCGTGAAATGATCAATTTCTTTTTGACCCCTCCGTTCCTGGTGAGCCGATCTAAGTTCGCTGGCGACGGGTAGCTTTATGGAGACGTTTCTTGTATACCGAGATTTTGCTATTCACAAACCGGCGAAACAAGCGTACATCATCGTACCACCTCCACATATGCTGTGTCGGTGCTTGGAGGCACTAAAAAATGAGTTTACTGTTTTAAAATACGCGAGAAGAACAATGGAATTGTAAGAGATCCATGGAGATGGGCATGATTGATAAGTTGATTGCATACACAGTGCCAAAGACGCTTATATTGGCGAGGAACGCTTCCAGTACGATGATGCTCCATGGTGATCTTGGCGCGACTGGTTTAGAACGACCCTCTGGAAGCCTCGAAGATTTGAATGGACCGACACTGCTACTCCCATGGCAACGTAGGCAGATTAGCCGATCGAGTTGCGAGGTATTGGTCGTCCGTATGTTAGTATCTGTTTGTGTCCGGCTAGCAGGTAGGGAAGGCAATGGGGCTGCCTTCCCAGTATCCACTGACTTTACTGACGACGTGAAGCAATAGAAGCGGAAACGCGAGAGACGACGTGATACACGTGGAAACAATAATTTTCAATACCACTCTCTTTTTTTTTTCTTTCTTTTTTTTCTTGCTCGGCGTACAGTTTTTATTTCCTCTGTACGTTATCCTAAAATCCATCTGCGTCCGTTGTCGACCGAACAATGTGGTGCGCAGCTTTTTGAGCATTCCACGCTGGCCCTGCCTCTCGCATTTTTAATAAAAATTACCTGGAAAAAGCCAACGCTCCAATAACACATTGTAAATAAAAGATAGTCATACTCTCGAAAACATAATTTATTATCTATTATTTCCCAGCAAAATATTAAAAAAAATAACTCCCTAACATTTTTTTTTTCTTTCTGGGGAGCAAGAAGAGAAGATTTATCTTTACGAACATTAGTCGTCTCTAACAGCACTAATCTTCAGCTGTACTGCTTCTTCGCAGACTGGTGTTATCTGCAAGCGGTGTTTCGTGGAATATTTGCCTAGGGAAACCATGACATTAAGGCATATTTTGAAATCATCGTGAATTTAAGGATATGTTGGATACAACGTGCGCGAGGAGGTTTTAGTTTCTGAGTTCCATTGCATTATGAAGTACTACCAGTTTCGATATAAAATTTCGCTCAAATCAGTATTTTGGTGGATCAGTTGTCACAATAGATTTTAAGAACATGACCTCGCTCGGTGTCGAAACCCTAAAATTAGAACAGTTAACCAATATATACATATATATATATTTTTTTTTTTTTTTTTGGGGGGGGGGGGGGGGAGGTGGAAAGGGGGGCATGAAGGGGGGTCTTGCGTTTCCTCTCCAAAAATGGCAAGCCTTTATATGTTTACTTTTTTTAAAGTAATACACAGAAGATAACCGATGCTCGATCATCATTTATTAAATATGTCGGCCGGAATTTCTTTTTTTTTTTTCAATTTGAATTTGGCAGTAAAACTAGAAAGACACACTTCCAAGAAACAATACATTATAGAACAACAGAAACAATATAAAGTATCCGTTCGTAAATGTAAATTATTATTATTTTTTATGCTGTATATTACGTTTTTCCCACGCAGACACCAACGGTGGGCGGGTCAAGGGACCTTCACGCGGCTCGTCCCTTGCATAATGGACGTCGCGGCTCCGGTCACTCTCCCGATCGCGAACAGTTTAAAAAGAAGAAAAGAGAGCGTCCCAGAGAGAAACCGGCGGCTGCCGGAGGACTTCCTGGGTCAATGAACGTGACTCACCGCGTACAAGGGCAGGTACATTTTCATGGACTCCTTGAAGGCGTTCAGGCCGACGTACACCGACGCCTCGGAGCAGTGCGGCGTCCATGTGTGTCCTATCTCGTAGCAGTTGTACGGGAGGTGGTATTCCAGTAGCTGCGCGTACTTGCTCAGCAGAGCCATGCTGGTGCGGCGGCGCGAACCCGGCGTCTCCGTCAAACTGGCCGCGGCGGTACCGGCGGCACCATTGGAACGATGCGAGGACGCGATGGGCCGCCGGCAACGACGCGACCGGGAGCAGACGGCATGGAGGGAGGATCCAGGGAGAGGGGGAGAAAAAAGAAATGTGCGTCGTCTGCAACTTCCGCCATCTCTCGGAAAAGGACGCTGCCGTCCCTCCTGAGTACAAGCGGCGTCTTCGGCGGTTGAGAAATTCCCCGACAGGGAACGTCGCGTTCCTTTTTGTTTTTTGTTCTTCGTTTGGAGCGAGAATGTTTGTGCCACCGTGTAATCGGGGCAGCGCCGAGTGGGTGCGGGAATGGATACGTATCCCGCACATCATCATAATAGGCCGCCCTCATCAAATGTTTCGTAACTGCTATGTGGAGTTGTGGCGTAGCAGGAGTATACTTGCCTTCAAAAGATATAGGTACAGTCGTTGTGGCTAGTTGCAAACCAGCTTGCATTGAATATATAAAAAAAACGAAATATATTATTTTAGGTTAAAACTGAAGGGGCTTATACGTAATGACAAATACACAGCGCAAAAGGACAAAAAGGGAAGAGACACACCGGATAGAACAGAGCGCTGTTCTATCCGGTGTGTCTCTTCCCTTTTTGTCCTTTTGCGCTGTGTATTTGTCATTATGTATAACTAAAAACAACTAGCTTAACTTTCTCCTTTATTACTGAAGGGCCTTAGCTAAACCATTAACATAAATTTTTATTCCTACAAACTGGAGATGATTGCATCTTTCAAGTTCCTGGCTGTATGGTTTCGTGAACACCTCGACTGGACAGCTCATGTGTCCAGACTATTTAACACTGGCCAGATCAATCGACAAAATACAAAAATTAAGACTTATTACCAACATGGCTTAAGTGCCAATCATACTATGCACTTGTTTACTCTCATTTACATGACTGCTCATTGGTTCGGGGAACGACAACAAAGAGCAATATTGCGGCAGAAAAAAAGCGATTCGATCCATCGAATATTCTGGTTTAATGATCACACATCTGCTTATTTTAAGAAACATCGCTTGCTTACAGTGCAGCAGTTAATAATGTTCAGTCTAACAAAAATCCCCTTTCATTACCTGGAAACTGACAGGGAGTAATTTCACGTTTAATTTCCTTTAGGAGATACTGGCTACAATTTAAGAGTTGTGAAATATGCTAGATGACTAATTCATACGACCTATGGTAAACAAACTTTGACACCTCGAATTTCCCAACTTCTAAACATGCATCCTCAAATTCTGAATATGGCTTAAAAAATAAAATCAACAGACACATGAAAAAAAGAAAGGTTGTATTTTTTAACATAAATAATGTGCCGCGTAGAAATGCATGGACATCTTTCTTTTTTTTTTTTTTTTTTGTTAGCTAACTTGTGTGTGTCTTGTATCTGTTGCGCCACCCTGCCCTAGTGAAGAATCTTATATGCATAAGAAATTGTTTGGTCCCATAAACGCATATGATCATATAGGATCATATAAGATCACACGAGAAACTTATAAGACCATGTAAGAACAATATAAGAATTTACAAGACTCTTCTTGTCAGTTTCTTATAACTTCTTATATCATCATATATTGTTCTTATATGTTCTTATAAGGTTCTTGTATGATCATATTTGATCATATGCGTTTATTGGACCAAACAATTTTGTATACATTAAAGAGTTTTAACTATAGTCGGTGACAGGTCAAGAACGAAGTGGAAGCTCCCCCTTCTCTTTCCACATGAGCAGAGCGAACGGTAGATAGGAGGTCGCCTCCTCTTCGGCGATCGCTCTGCTAAAGTGGAAAGGGGTGGGAGGAACTTCCACTTCGTTCTTCACTAGTGAAACCTCTATGGAGCACTGGAGCTTGATCAAGTGTCATTGTGCTCAAGTTTTGTCACTGCCACCTTATTTGAAAATGGCTAAGAAATGGAAAGGGGAAACTGTTTCGTTTGCTATAAACACATTCGTGAAAGCACGTACTTAACACAGCTTGCCTCTAGGTTCGTTTCATAAACCGTGCTGCCCCCTTTATCGAGAATAATAGAAAGGGGGGCAGAGGGGAAAAGAGAAGGTTTCCGCTAAACAGTCATGACGTAATTTTTTCCTTGCCTAAGGGGTGCGTGCAAATATTTGGTGCACGCACACAACGGTCGACCCGTATCATTGGGAAAACCCATGTTCAATTCAATGTGCTTTTGGTGAGAAATAGGGCTCCATCCAACTACCTATACGAGAAGCTCGCGATTATATGGCATAATTCTCGTCGGCGCAGTACACTAACCGAAGGGTGCGGGTGCATGGGCAACTCTCGCAATAACTTGTTATTCATCAAATTTTGAGTTCGGGAGTTTTTTTGCCTGAGCTGCACATGTAGGCGGCACGAACAAGCTGAAGGACTGTTTGAGAGCTTACAAGAAAACCATTAATCGGTTTACTTGTAAGAGTCCCCACGAGCGGTCCTTGTTCATTCATCTTTAGTTCTTTTCACAAACCAATGCTACTTTCACGCTTTGTTTGGGATGGTTTCGACTAACCTTACCCAGCACCTAACTTAACCTAAGAGATGTCCTAAATGCCGAGCTTCAGGATTTCTGATATCTGAGTCCAAATTTCCACATGGGCACGCTGGCGTGAAAGTACAAGGCAAAGAAAAAGGTATAATTACAAACTTTTATGTGAAAGTAAAATTATGCTTCAAAGAGCTTGCCCAAAAGACAAATATTTGTGTGATGAGAGCTGTCTATATTCCTTTGCTGAAACAGGGGTGACAATGTGCTTTTTTTCCGATTTAATTGTGATTTGCATGCCTTCCGATTGGCGGCAAGAATGAATGTGTGAAGGCATTGTAAATTTCACGATGAGACGGGAGACAGGAGCAGAAATGTGATAGTCATCTGCTGTTGTTTTTTCTCTTGCCGACTACTGGTAACATCTGTTTGAAAAATATTTCTTCGTGTGATGGAACTTGATCTCTTGATATTCAAATTGGATATCGCTTTTGTTCCTGAGATATTTTAAGTAGTTGTGTATTTATGCGCACTATACATTGTGATGATTACGATTGTAAATATTAATTATTATAATTGTATTGGATACCCTGTGTGTTTGCCCTGTATTGGATACCCTGTGTGTTTGCGAGCCAGATCGACACGAAATGTTTACTGTTCGCTGACTTTTTTTTTTAAAGTTTGGTGGGACAGGAGTGTCTAAAAATTAATTTTACACAAAAAAACTTTTTAGATCAATATTGACGGCGAGAGCTTTCTTTGAAACTCTGCGTGCAAAGTCCATGACGTCACGGAATGGTCATTCGCTCAACGAGACTGCACCCCCTTCTCCCCCCCCCCCCTTTTTTTCACCATTTTTTTTAACTTTTTGTTAGGTGTTATGGTATTGTGTCCGAAGGCTACCCAATCAGTATTTTGACTTTATTTTTAATGAAGTCAAAATACGCAACTGCTCGAAACCGAAACTGGACTGGGGAGGAGGAACAAATATAGACGTGGAGAAAGTCACGGAAGTCACTTACCGAAAATCACGTGGCGGTGCAACTTTGTTTTTTTAATTAACGTATTTGCAGTTTTTTTTAGAAGCCACAAAGTATGGGTATTATATTTTTGTCTATTTTTAGTATTGAGTGCATGCTTTCGATGACCCGTGACTTTTATTATCTTTAGTGGTTGTGTCTAAACGAAACCATAGAAAACGGAACGTGAGTGAGCGCGACTCAAACCGGCCAGTTCTCGATCGGCGGTTTCCGGGTCGAAAGAAGACGAATTTCGAGCCTCAAATTCTGTTCTGGGTAGTTGGATTCTCATATGTCATATACATATAAAAACCTTGGCCACCATAAACACCCTGTCAGTGTTCCTTTAACCTGAGACAGGGAAGGAAAAAAAAGGCACATTAAAGGAAGGGACGAACACAGCGATCCGAAAACAATTATAAGTTTATTTGTCTCTATAAAAAATGAAAGTCCCTGTAACGCCGAATTAGACCGCAGCTCTTGAGGAGGAGGAGGAGGAGGGAAGGGTACAGAGGGGGGTCACGTGACCTCGGGGTGACCTGAATTGCATGAAACGCGTGGTTATGCCGACGACGGCGGGTTGCATGCAGCGAGGGTTGCATGCAACCTGAGTTGCATGCAACGCGCGGTTACGCCGACGGCGACGCCGCTCAAGCCAGCCTTACCTGTCTCAGGTTAACTTATGTCAACATCTCACTAAACTGTTTGACACTTTTCTCAATTGCCCTCTCTCTCTCTCTCTCCGTTTCATCAGCACTAAGTTTAGTTAACAAGATGGTCACTGACAACAAAAACAACAATAATAATAATAATAATCTTTATTTCCTCAGGAGAGCCGCGGCACCGCAGAAAGGCAACAGCCCGTACCAAGGGGGCCCGCGGTGCCGCGTCTAGTGAAGGGGATTATGTGATGATGTAATATACAAGGGAAATTGTGATGGTTATTACGATATGTGCGTTAGGCATAGCAGCATTCTTCGCGGTGGTGGTCTTCGCGGAGCTGCCATGGGCTGCTTACTTCTAGCAGGCCGGTCTCGAGCGTCTGGAGAGGGCTCCTCGCGTGTCCGACTTACGAGCAATACCTCCTAGACATAAGGCCGTAGTGCTCTTCTCGTGACGTCGCAAAGGAAGGCCATCGGGGGCGCGCGTCGAAGCAAAGGCAACACGCGTGGATCGACCGTCGTAACGCGTTTTTAGTCACATATAAGCGTGTCATATTAGCTAAAATGAAAGCTCCGGGTCTAGAAAACACTTTATTACTCGGGCAAAACATTACACCGCTAAATAATCGGTACGACATGGCACGAGGTATACGTAAGACGTCTATAGAAAAATTAAATTGTTTTTAGTCGAAAACATTGAGTCACGCAATTATTGCTGTAGGAATGCATTATTTTTATACAGAAATACTTCGACAAAATGGCGAGACACGCACTGATTGGACACAGCAAAACAGATCATAGTTAAAAATCTGGTAGACTTAGTCAACGCGGACACGGTTAGACAAGTGTCACTTACGATAATGTAAGCGATGTTATCGCGTGCAGTCACTGAATTCTTGCATTAAACCCCGGCCAGATGGCAAAATTAATATAAGTTCGATCAAATGACATTATGGGGTTAAAAAATCAGCTTGCGAC